TCTTCTTTCTATTCTGATTAAACTGGGGAGGAAAAGAAGGTGGAGGGTGTAGAAAGACACGAAAGGGGAACCTGAGCACATTAATGCAAAGAAGAAACAGCCAGAGAGGGCTGTGGTGCTAATTACAGACGGCATAGTCCATATGATCTCTTAAAGAGAGAAAGGAGCAAACTGGCATCTGGGAGAAGAACCTATCAGAGGCTCAAGCTTTCCATTCTATAGCTGCTGGGAAGGTGCGGTTCTGTCTTTAATCGGAAAAACTTGAAACCTAAGTGCACCAAAGTCCACAATTTTTGAATGCTGACATGATGCTGTGTGTAGAAAAGTCACCTGAGCTCATGTGACAGGTCAGTCAAAACACATGCGACACTAAAAATACTGTATTCTTCAGATTTCATGTATAAAGTGTATGTGAAAAATCTTATCTACAAAATCAATGTCTCCCTTCCTTCCCCACACATATACACTCTCAAATACACACATAAGCATGCCAATGTTTCAAAACATGCAGCACTTCCAGAACCAAGCATTTCTGATAAAGGATACACAGTGCCAAAGTCTAAAGGAAATCAGACTATAAACACCTCTTCAGAGCAAATGATAAGAGGAATCAACAGGGATCAAGAAGCAGTTAAAGAACTGCAAGCTGCCACACTCACCACAACAAAGGCTTCGAGACTCACAAATCACAATACGGACATTCTGAATTTGGCCAAGACTAATGAGACCTGCTGCATTTACTCAACAGGATTTCTCCTTTTAGCTCACTCCCAGGCTTGATTCAAACAAGTACTCAGATAAACTAATTGAGTGCACACTGGTACCTGACTAATGTAATCAGTTATTTGATGACCTTTCGAATTGTTACTGGAAAGAAAAGCAGGCTATTCAGAACATTCATCTTTCTTTAGGAACATCTAAGCAAAAACTAGTCAAGCCTTTACCCTCACCTGTATGTTTGCATAGAGATCTCCAAGTAAACCATACACAGCCCTGTCTCTTCCAGAACTCCTCATCTGCCAGTCAGAGAGTCTATTCATATTTACTTAGTGTGTGTGTGAGAGAGAGGAGGGGGGGATGTCAAAGGACAACCTGTCATGATGGCTTCTTTCCTTCCACCTCCCATTTCCTGGGGACTGAATTTAGGTCATTAACACTTGGTGGCAAGTGTTCCACTTGCTGAAACATCACATGGGGTGGGGGTTGGGTGCCCCTATTCATCCTTCAAACCTCTCTTCTAAGTTATCTTTTCTAGATAACTTTTTTTTTTCTAGATAACTTTTCCACCGGGCATTGGCCTTTAATCCCAGCACTAAGTTTATACTGTCTACCCATTTGTGTATTTTGAAGGATTTCAAAACCATTTTATAAAAAAGGAAGAAACTAGCCGGCTTTTGGTGGCGCACGCCTTAAACCCAGCACTTGGGAGGCAGAGGCAGGCAGATCTCTGTGAGTTCGAGGCCAGCCTGGTCTCCTGAGCGAGTGCCAGGATAGGCTCCAAAGCTACACAAAGAAACCCTGTCTCGAAAAACCAAAAATAGTAAACTTTCCTAGATACATTACAGAATTTTCTAATCAAGGACCTGTATTCCTATACAGATGCATCATTCATACTCAAGTCTGCATAACCTGCTCTATTGAAATAAGAGTTGTGAGGAGTCTTTGAATCTACATTGGACAGTGTATTTTGATTCTTTTTGTTTCTTGAGATAGGGTCTCTCTAGGTAGCCTAGCTGTCCTGTAACTCAGTATGTGGACTAGGCTGGCCTTGAACTTACAGAAATATTAGTTATCTTGGATCTGCCTCACCAAGTACTGAATTTAAAGGTATGGACCATGCCAAGCTTATTTGATTCTTTTGACCACTGCTAGAGAAAAGAGAACCTAAAGATTGGCTGAATTGGAGTTGTAACAATTCTAGGACTTTTATTTTTATTTTTTAGATTCAAGTACCTAAGTACCCACCACCAGTAAGCTTTTGCTATCACTTCTGAGATAAGCAGAGCCATACAGTGTTTAGGAGTTTAAAGAAGTTGGCTCTCTACTGCTACTGTTTAAAGCAAAGGATGGGTTTTGAACCATTCCCAGATCCTGATCTGAACAAAGTAAGGAACCCAAACAAAATCAGAAAAAGACATTTGCCAGTCTTCTACTCATTATCACATGAACAAACACATGCCTACAAACCCTACAGAGTGAGCTTCGGGAGCCCACTTTTTCTTTATTGCTCAGTTGACAAACATTAAGGGAACATCAACAAGTGCCAAGCATTAGGCTGAGCAGATTAAGACTCTAGTGCTAGCAAGAAGCCATTAATTAGATAACATGTTTCTCAACCTTTTTTTTTTGGGGGGGGGGCGTTGTTTGAGACAGGGTTTCTCTGTGTAGTTTTGGAGCCTGTCCTGGCTCTCGCTCTCTAGACCAGGCAGGTCTTGAACTCAGAGATCCACCTGCCATGCCTCCAGAGAGCTGGGATTAAAGGTGTGACACCACTACCTGGCATTTCTCAACCTTTTCAATCTAAAAGGGGCACAGCTGCCTACTATAAGGCTTTCTAAGATCCGTATCAAGTGGTGAGGTTACATTCCCTTTCTAAACGAAACTATCACAATGTTTAACTTTTTTTTTTTTTTTTTTTTTTTTTTTTGGTTTTTCTAGACAGGGTTTCTCTGTGTAGCTTTGGAGCCTATCCTGGCACTCGCTCTGGAGACCAGGCTGGCCTCAAACTCAGAGATCCTCCTGCCTCTGCCCCCCTCCCCAGTGCTGGGATTAAAGGCATGTGCCACCATCGCCTGGGGCATTTAACCTCTTTAGCTTACATAAATGTAAAACTGTGTAGATTCTGATCCAGGGTTCATCACCTCCTTCAACTACACCTCCAGTTCCAGTGGATAATGAAAGGTCCAGGTAGGTATTAAATCATTCTAGAAGACCCAGAAAACCTATGTTCCATCATTGTCTTGGATTTTGCATTTCTCTGAAAACAATGTATCTAAAATCTGTTTTAAAAAATCCTCAAAAATAAGTCCATCAGTTGATATATATAAGCAATCAGGAGGGATATTTATGAAAAACAAAAATTAAAAAAGCAAGGCTCAGACTTCTATGACTTCCAACATAATAAATCTTTCTCCTCCCTCTTCCCCAGTGTCAGTCAAGCCCTCTGAGAGCTGGAATTGCTGAAGACACTAGCACTGCACCAAAGGGAAAATCTGCTAATTTAGGAGAGAAATACCCACAAAGTTAGACACAAACGAAGTCTCTCCTTTTCAGGAGACAGGCTATCCCTGCTTTCCATCTCCAAGTCCAATCGAAGACCATAAACTACTCAGAAGTCTCAAGAGACAAAGAATCACTTGTGGACGCCCGTGGAGGACTTTCAGGCTGTCTCCAACCTGATGGAATCCATAAAGTAAAAATTTAAACCACAGCTTGGAGGGAAAAATCTGTAACTGGTGTGATGGTTAGCATGCCAATGCTTCTCATGATTCATCCCTAAATTACAGCAAATGCTAGCAGCCATCAGAACCAGGGAACCATCTCACTCTTGGGTAGGCTAGATCACCAGCAGGAGGGAGGGGCTGCAGCAAAGGTGGGTAGTTGAAGGCAGCCAGAGATGGCCCAAGGCCAAGGCCAAGGCCACAGGGGCAAGCTTGGCAAGAAGGACAGTCTCCTGCTACCTACTCCCCAGTTCCCTCCTCGGGAATGTTGCCAAGCAATTCTTTCTCTACCAGTGATCAAAGATGGTCACGTTTTTAAGATTCCCATACACTTGGCTTTGAAATTTCCTTGACTTAGCCTATCTGTGTGATAGGCTCTGTGGGTATAGGGCCATCACATCCTTATAGCACTTAAGGCTGTTTGCTATTAACAGTAGGTCGTGGATATATTAACAGGAGGGAGGAGGAGAAAGAAAGGAGGGAGGAAGGGGGGGCTCGAGCTCACCAATGACTTTAAGCAAGCTACATACCAAAGGTGTCCAGAGCATCAGTCCTTGGCTAGGTCTAAATCACAGTTGTGATTTCTTGCACCTGAATTGGGGAAAAGTAACACTCCCCACTTCCTCTCATCAATGCCGTATGTGAAGGCAGGACACACCCCCTGCCAACCTATTAGCCTCCATCTGAGCCTGAGCTTCCCCATCCCTTTGGGGTCCACCATTAACCGGAGGAACTCTGACAGCCGAGCTCCCTTCTCATCCCCTGATGACGCCCCCACTTCGGTGGTCACAGCTACCTCAGAGGCGACTCCGATTCTGACTGTGTCATCAGAACACCAAGCCCCCAACGCCCTTTGCCTTCTCTCGGTGCCTCGCCTGCCCATAGGAGCGGAGCCCAGGTCCCCTTCTCCGCCCCGCAGCGGGACCGGCTCCCCAGCCCGCGAGCTCCGGCACAAGCCCACTCCCGGAGCCCGGTCCTCCGAGACAGGGTCCACGCCTTCACCCTGACCCGAGCGCTGAGCCTTCAGGCCTAGTCAAGGACACCGCCTCCGACCCGCATACGCCGCCCGCGGTGCCTCGGCCGGCGGCTGTCCCGCCCCGCGCGGGACACTCACCCAAACACGACCGGACCCGGGGCAAAGAAAGGAGCAATCCACGGAGCACAGTGCACTGTGCCTCCCGCCCTCAGCAGCTTTATAGCCACCGACCCACCCGACTCCCGCACCGCCGGGAGGCGGCAGGGGGCGGGATGGCGGCTGCCGCAGCCAATCCCAGAGCTCAGACTCGCTCGTCAGCTCCCGCCCCTCATACCGCTTTCTGCCAATGGGAAGGAAAGGAGAGGCGGTGACTCGCTAGGGTTTTCCCTCGCGGCTGGAAGGGTGGGGGAAGGGGCGGGGACAAAGTCGGAGGACCGGGGAAGTGGGGTGAGACGGTGACGTAGGGTGGCCCGAGAACATCTCGGCCAATGGCGGGACGGCGAGAGACGGCGAGAGCCAACGGGAGCGGAGTGAGAGGTTCTCTGACCAATTGAAGGTCAGTGAGAGGAGATCGGGACCAATGGCGACTCCGCGTCCCACTGCTGGGGAGAGATGGTCAAAGTGTGGGAGGCGAGTTGGTCCCTGCTTGGGAGGCTATCAGGTTGCCTAGCAACCACAGCTATGCTTCTCCGGTAAAACGTTTGAAATATTTGATTTGAATTCAATCTTGAGATTTTCGATTTTCCAGAGCAGCAAGGTGCGCCTGCATCACAAGTTGAAGCACACTACTTCACCCAGAATTTCTAAATGTGTAAGTGTTCTAAATACCCAATTTAGAACTACCTTGGCTCTGAAAGAAATTGCTGTTGAGACAGTTCTAACTGAGCAAACCTAAAACCTGATATTTTAGGGATTAGGCGTCAGTGAGGATGATGCAGGTCTTTCCAAGAAGAGCAGCTGATCCAGTTCAGTGACTCCTTGGGGAAGGTGGGGGGCAGGCATCTGGCCCACTGCTCACGGTGTCTTCTGAGCTAACTGTGGTAGCTACCAAATAAAACATTTTTTCAGTGACGAAAACGGTACCATAATTCTCAGAATAGTGAATCACAGGGTAAGCACTCTCTCTCTCTCCCAGAAAACTTAAGTTCAAACACTAAGAATGCTCTTTGAGAGTATCTGAAGGATGACAATTACTGCCTTCGAATAGGCATGGTATACCTGAAATAACTTGTCGATGTGAAATCCAATACTGTGTACAATGAATATACACCATAAAATATTTTAAAAAACAAAACTAGGCTCTAGTCTCCTACTCAAATAGAGAAACGATACTACTTAGCTTTGGTGAGAGTGAATAAAGGAACTTTAGAATTATATTAGTAATCTTATCTCAGTTCCATTGCTCACTCAAGAACTATTGATAAGAGCCATTGATAATTCTGTGTTTCACACTACTACTGCTATGTGAAGATGCTGACTCTAAGCAAAAGTGCTCTTGCTCTAAAGGGAATAAGAGGTGGGTTGTCTGTTGGTTCTTTTGTTTTGTTTGTTTCTGAACTAAATATGAGTAACCATGGCTGGGAATATGGGTTTGTGTTTTCCTGAATGACATGTTCCATCAAAGAAGAAGCCACATGAACTGATACAACCTCAGAGCAAAAACAGTGAATGCATTTCCCAAACACATGGTGGGAATGATAGGTAGGTAGGTTACAGCAAAGCAGAAAAGGCTTCAGGTGCTATGTGATGACATTCTTCATTTGGGTCGGTGGAAAGTAGCTACCTGCTTGTTAATACATGCTGAAGTTTTGTTTGGTTTTGTTTTTTCTCTAGAGACAGGATCTTTCTGTGAAGACCTGGCTGTCCTGGAACATACTTTGTAGACTAGGTTGGCCTTGAACTCATAGAGCTCCACCTGTCTCTGCTTTCCAAATGCTGGGATTAAAGGCATCCACCACCACTGCTCAGGCCTCCTGTAGGAGGTTTTACCTGATAGTCATCAAGTCAGAGATACAGAGTTGGGTGATAAGTGGGTAAAAAGGGAGCTAAAGTTGGCTTAAAATCATTTTGGCCTTGGATCTTCAACATTCCAAGTCCCCATAAAGTTCTAATCAGCCAGTCTACAAGATCTTCAACTATAGCTCTTTCAAGAAACTCCAGTTAGCATGACCTGGTAACACATTCTCAAAAATGAAGTATCAAAATATCTTGGATATGGAACCACTGTAGAGCAGTGGCATAAGTTACTGGGAGAGCAAAGGCCAAAATTCCTACCAGGTACACACTGCTTTTTTGATCTAATAAATTTTCTATTTAACAAAGTGATCAGCCCAGCAGTGATGATGCACACTTTTAATTTCAGCACTCAGGAGGCACAGGCAGATCTCTTTTGGTTGCAATCCAGCCTGGTCTACAAAGCAAGTTCCAGGAGAGCCAGTACTGTTAGGCAGAGAAACCCTGTCTTGAAAAAACTGAAGCCAAACCAACCAGCCAACCAACCAAAGTGGTCATAGTGATCATTACAAAGTTGAGCAATGGACAATAAAATAGGTTAGTGGTTAGGTAGGTAGCATCTTAATTGAATTTAAAAAAAAAAAAACAGACTCTAAGATTTTATGAAATCTTGTAGTAGAAATACTAGACTAAAAATATCAACTGTTGTCTACAAGTGATAGCAAGGTATACATATGTATTTGTTATGTAAAAGATTTCAAGTTTTCTGAGCTACAATTTTTGACAAAGCACAGTCAGGTCAATAACCTGGGTAAGACTTGTCAAAATATATGTTCTATTAAAGTGTTTTAAAACTTGTAGTAAACTTTGTTGGTCAAGCACTTTAAATGCCATTCATCAAAGGAAGTATAATCTGTTGTAATGTCCTACTTTGGAAGGAAAACAAAGCTTGCTAAGGAGCTGGAAGACATAATGGTAAGATTCAGTATTATAAATTCACCTGTTGAGCAAACATTTACTCTCTACTTGCTCTGTAGCAGGAATTGATGAGACTTATGTTGTTAATAAAGCAAGCATTGCTGGGCATTGGTGGTGCACGCCTTTAATCCCAGCACTGGGGGGGAGGGGCAGAGGCAGGTGGAGCTCTGTGAGTTCCAGGCCAGCCTGGTCTCCAGAGCGAGTGCCAGGATAGACTTCAAAGCTACACCGAAAAACTGTCTCAAAAAAAAAAAAAAATAGTGAAGTTATCAATGACCGTACAGCGCAAATGCTGCACAAAGAAGTGTGCCCAGAGGATAAGAGAAATTCAAAGGAAGAGTTTTTAATCCAGTTAGGCAGTTAAGACTTTCCGGAACAGGTGGTACTCATTATTTATCACATTCATAAATCTTTACTGAGGACAGTAGTGTGCCAAGTTCAGGAGTTTCGTGTGGTAGACAAGAAAGATGGGGTTTTTGACTTTACCCAGGTTAGTGGATGAAAACAGAACATTCTGTAGGAAACAGAAAATGAGCCGAGTTGTCTTCCAGTGATACTATGAAGAAAATAATTTACAGCAATAAAACGAATGATGATTGTGAAGTGAGGGCATAGAGGAGGTGGTTAGGAAAGATCTCCCTGAAGTTGTGACGCTTAAACTGAGTCTTGACGGATGAGAAATTGACAGTCTTCATAAAGCTCTAGGGACAGAGTAATGGTAGGAGAGGGCTCAGAGTAGAATGGTGTGTGTGGAGGAGCAAACTAAGGCCCATGTGGAAACTGCATTGTGGCAAACTCACAATGTTTGTACACAGTTGACAGGGTACAGGACAGGACAAAGAGAAGAGGGCAGTCATTTCAGAGAAGGGAAACTGAAATTTAAAGCAAGGCAGTAAAGTGAATCACACTGAGTGCTTTGTTGTATTGGGATTATTATGCAAAAGCAGTGTCGATGGGACAGGGATGCATTTTTCCCCCTATATCTTTGGAAAGAAGAGTTCAGTATTATGTCTTCCCCACACTGCAGTCCTGACAGTGATCTACTTTGTCAGCATTGATAAGCGTTTGCTGTGTGCCTACTATTCTCCAGAGAGTATAACAAGTGCCTTACATACATCGGTTCTCCCATTAATCCCAATGATATGAAAACCTGTATCCCAGTTTTTTAAAACAAAAGTCACAATTGTGATCAAAGACAGGAGAGTCTAGGTGGGAATAGCAGCTGCGAAACAAGGGAGAATGAGTAATTTCTAGTGAGAGGCCTCAGCGGACAGCATTTCTTGTCCTGGTGAATCTTATCACATAGAACGATAGATTGGGCTTGGAAGACTTCATTTCCCACTGTTCACAGACATGTCCATCTTTGAGAGAGATACTGTATTAACCAAGATAATGATTTATGAAATCAGAATGCCAGCTCACTGTCTAGAGTACAAAAAGAGACAACCAGCAAAATCCACATGATTCTTTCTAGGTTCACCTATAAAGCCAAGTAATTATCAAAATAATAGTTGGACATTGATTGAAAAGAGAGTTAGAGCTCATTTGAGCAGCTGGGTTGAGATAACAAAATGCATTGATTTCAAAACAGTCATCTTCCCAATGGAGCAGAACTATCAGGGCCATAACGCTACCAACTTTACCAATGCCACTTTAAGGCTAGCTTTTCAATGAATTCAGAACTTTACTTGAAGTTCACTGCTAATTACTTTTCTTCTGTGGACCATATTTAACTCACCATGGTCAACATTTATAGCTGTGACTTCCTTTAAAAAAAAAATCAGTTCATGCATGACCAACCATCTGTGTATCTAACCTAATTCTCTAAATCTTTTATCACCACCAGTCATGCTAAAGCCTATTTGTGATGCCTGGGTAACTTCCAGCTTCTTCAAAGGAACGACTCCCGGCCCTGCTCTAATATGTGTCAACTTAGTCTTTACTATGATCAAGTTTCCAACTGCAGGTTTTATGTTCAAAACCCATTTACTACTATCACTTCCTGTGTCAGTTACTTTTTTCTCATTGCTGTGGCAAAAATACCCGGCAAAGCAACTTAAAGAAGGAAGGGTTTGTTTTGGGTGACAAGTCTATGATGGTAAGGAGGGTGAGGTGGTTTTGTCACCAGTTGCCTGCAGTCAGGAAGTAGAGAATAGACAGACATGAGGCCAGCCTATAAAATCTCAAAGCCCATCCGCAGTGACCCAGTGAGGCTCTGCCTACTAAAGTCATCACATCATCTAAGACAGCACTCAGCTTGGGACTAAGTTAATGTTCAGACCACAATGCTATCCCTCACTTGTGATCTGTGGAAGGAACCTAGTAAGAAAGTAGCCAGCATCAAGTAGCTTTAATCATGCAGTGTGGTTTCAAATGAGTTCATCCTACGTTAGTCACAGAACACAAGCATGAATGTTGAGACTAAAGGCTGAGAAATAAGACATTAAATACCTTAAAAGAACAAATGTGGAGCAAGACATTTTCTGTAGAGATCCAGCTGTCATTACTGTAGCCACCTTGTCCATAAAAGCCAGGAGGTGACCTTTGACACTCATTCCAAATCCTATAGGATAAACAAAGCCATTCATTTACTCAGCATTAAAGCTTTGATATTTTAATTGGTTTTGAGAAATCCCAAGGTACATTGCAGGTAGCTATGATCCACCTTAGTCTATCTTAGCATATGAACTATTTTGAATGAGAATAGCTCTTATAGGCTCATATTTGAATGCCTGGTCCCCAGTTGGTAGACTGTTTAGCAAGAATTAGGAGGCATGGCCTTGTAGATTTACAAATGGGAGTCAGCTTTGATATTTCAAAAGACCATTGCAGACCAAGTCTCTCTCTCTCTCTCTCTCTCTCTCTCTCTCTCTCTCTCTCTCTCTTCTCCTCTCCTCTCCTCTCCTCTCCTCTCCTCTCCTCTCTCTCTCTCTCCTTTCTCTCTCCTCTCTTTCCCTCCCTCCATGTCCTCTCCTTCCTTCTCTCCCTCTATTTCTCTCCTCCCTCCTTCCCCTCTCCCTGCTTGCTGCCTCTGAACAGATATAAGCTCTCAGCTACTGTTCCAGCCCCATACCTAGCTGCCTGCTGCTTTGCTCCTGGCCACGATGGGTATGAACTCACCCTCTGAAACTGTAAACAAGCCTCTGATTAAATGCTTTTTTAATGTAAGTTGCCTTGATTATGCTTTTTCCAGAAATCTGAAAGTAACTAAGATACAAACCTTCCTTCTGCCTGGGAATACAGTGTCATCTGTCATGCTACTGTCTTTAGAACACAAACGATTGGCTTTGCCTGCCTCTTCTTACAGTCTCTCTCTACACCTTCCCCTTTTGGCAGCCAGTTCTGGTACATCATGTTCTCCCAAAACATCTTCAGAAGACTTTTGAACTAGTAAAGGAATCCTTTTTATAATCAATCAATCAATCAATCAATCAATCAATCATTTACCTAACTACACAAGAAGGAATGAAGGGCAAGCATCACTAGCCCTGGAGGAAGTGCTGTATGCCCAGGAAAGGGTCATTTCCTCCTGCTCTATAAAAGGAGGTGGTGATAGTCACTGGGTCAAATCAAAGTTTGGGGAGTTAACAATAAGGAGAGGTTGACATTTTTCTTCCACACTGAATGACTACTGAACTGCAGTGTCTATGGGACAGCCCCATGGTTGCCTCTGGAGTAGCATGTCATTGAAAGCCATATATCTGCAATATGAATTCATAGCATCCACGACAGCATGTGAACAAGAAGTCAAGCACACAATCTTACCCCTAGCTGAAGAGCTATTGGCAATTGTTAGCTGGTGAGGAGGAAGGGTTTTTCTGTAAGAGTGTAGCCCCTGATAAATTGAGCACAATCCAGTGGAAGGCCATACATCCAAGAATATTTGTACAACACAAATTGGCCTTCATAGTGGGGTGTGAAGGACACAAAGTTAGGTGAGAAGGAAAGTGGGGAGATGTGGGAAGAACTAGGGAATAGAAGACAAATATGATCAAAACCCTATATATAAATTCTCAAAGAAGTACTAAAAATAAGTTTTTTTTAAAGCCAGTTTTAGGAAAGTATTGTTGGCATATATCATTAAGGCAGCAGAAAAGCACAGTTAAACAAACTTGTTCCTACTACGAATCTACAGTCTGGGAGAAAAACTTGTTGGAAAAGAAAGTATCCTGTCATACATTCTTTTAATGCCTGGGAAGAAGACACGAGATCTCTCTAGTAGAACATTACAGCATTAAACATGTATGAATGAGAATCCTAGTGGTTTCCACTAATACGGTGAGGAGGAGGAGTAGGGGCTGTGGTTTGGCTTCACCGCCCTGTGGCATTTGTAGCTGTGTTTTCACACTACTCCTGATTGCAATATATTTAAGAGCTATCCCCTCAACAGAGGCTAGAAGAAGGGTCACATATCCTTTTCTAAGTCTCTCTGGGAGAACAAAGGAACTCCTCATTAGCTTTTGCAGACATCACACTAAGCAAGAATGATCATGTGCCCTTTCCTGAATATACCACAAGGGACATGATTAGCTTCAGCTTTTCTTAAAAACACTCATGATTTTGTTCACAAAGAAGAGGGTATAAATGACTGAGGGGTGAGGAACACTGTGTAATGTGGAGGATTCCCCAGTAATGTAACTCCTCTTACTGTTTTGTTCTAGCAGCCTGCTTCCTGTGTGTGGAAGTCTATGCCTAGAAACTCCAGGAAGGTTGAACAACCAAAGGAGTCTCCTCTATGAATGGGGTTTTATTTTGCCCCCACTCCCACCCCTGAAGCACAAGTGGCTGCTGTTTAACTTAATTTGATGAATCTATTTTGTGGTCAGTACTCTTTTGGCTGGAAACTAGTTTAATATTTTGTGTGTGTGTGTGATCACCACTATACTAACAAGGATAGTTATTTTTTTAACATTCATTTATTCATGCACAGGCTATGGCATGCATGTGGAAGTTGAGAGGACAACGTCTGGGAGTCATCTCTCTCGTTGCACCATGTGTGTTCCAGGGAATGAACTTGGGTTGTTAGGCTTGGCAGCAGTCGTGTGGCTCACATACAAGATAGGTGGGCCCTGGTGTTTTTAGGCCTGTGGTGATGCAACACATCATGGCAGGAGAGTGTGCTGACCATCTCTTGGCTAAGAAAGGCAGGAAAGAAAGAGGGGCCTTGGATAGCACTATGTCCTTCAAGGGCATTTCCCTATTGACCTGAATGCCTCCTGCTGGCCCTCACCTCCTGAAAGTCACACCACCTCTCTGGGAGCCAAACCTTTAACACAAGGTCCTTGGGAAGCACTTAAGATGTAGCCACACAAGTGTACTGGCTCCCATTTCCAGAATGTGTCCCTCAGTGGTGACATTTTTTTTTCTTAAGGAGGGTCCATCCTTGCTCAAAACCCTTGTCCATATACATATGGTACTTAAAAAATAAAACAAGATCCCTGTTCCCACAAGAGTTAGTTTCTAGTGGGGTGGGAAGGAATTCAGAAAGGAAAATGTAACAAAACATATGAATAATCTCATTCACAAATTATGATGTTTCCAGGTAGCTACAGTACTATCTAAGAGAATATTGGTAGTGTGGATCTGTTGGCGTTGTGACTACAAATTTACCCTGTGACATTGTTAGCTCTAAAAGAGTTCTGGAACCTTAAAGGGCATTTTTCTTTCAGAGGTATCACAGTTTTAAATTTTAGGTCAGTAGTGACAATTTAGAAAGGCACTGCAAGAGAAAAAGGCTTCCACGAGGGCTTGGTGCTTGAGGGGGACCTGAGGCCAGTAGCTGCCTTTTCTAACCCTGGCTCCCAGCCTCCACAAGTTTCTTATCCTTGTTCAACTAGTGAGTCCAAACTGCTTTCCCTGGCAACCTAGCCAGTGTGTTTCCAGAAAACTTCAGAGAGAGAACAGGGTACCACAGTGGTTGCTGCATCTTTCCGTGAGTCCCAGCTGAATGTTCACTTGCAGTCTGAGCCTGGCAGAGTCCTGGTAGAAGACTTTTCTTCTGTTGCCCACCATGTGCAATCCACTAGCGGCTGCTCCTTGTATTCACTATCCCTACATCCTTTAGAGTTTTCTTTACTTCTTAACCTGGTCCCTCACTTAGTTAATCTTGTTTAGTTCATTCTTTAAACTGAACTTTTCAGTTTAAATTACTATGGATTTTTCTGTTTTGATTGGATCTAGACAGAGAGAAGAAAATAATGCTAAATAAACAAAATATTAAAACTTGTAGAATATTTCTCTGAAAATATATATGGAACAATTTTTATGAATCTATTAGAGTCTAAGGCTTAAAGGGACCATCCTGTTGAGTTCTCAAACAACTTGTAATGGGACTGAATTATTGCCTTTATTGCTGCTAAGAGTCAAGATAGAAACTACAGTCTAAGGGGACAGTCACAGTGCCCTTCCTGATGCTAAGCATCAGAATGACAGCCTCACCCCTCAGATACAGGTAGACCAGTTCAGGCCTCTCTCAGAAAGGGTTGGGGGTGGGGGCTGATGCAGGCAGCTTGCTAAGTGGCAGGGAGCTTGCAGGAAGGAGGATGGGCTGAGCCACACCTACCTACCTGAGTTCTTCTTCCATCCCTTGAATTGGATGAGTCAGTCCTTCTTCAGAGGGAGAGAAGCATCTCCGTATTTAACAGGGATGGGGTGGGATGGCCAGGTATCACTCAACAATGCCTTCTATATGGCTCCGCTTCTACAAAGTCCACTTTATTTTCCTGTTACCTCTGTGGATTTCACAAGGACCAAATAAAGCAAAGCATAGGCATAACCATTTTGGTTTTAATATTTAAAATTACATTCATTCATTTAGTTAGCTATTTAGTTGGTGTGGGAACATGTCTATGTGTGTGAATGTGTATGTGTGTGGGGGTCAGAAGACAACAGCTGCTACCCACCATGTGCAAACTGGGGACCAAGCTTAGATTGTCAGGCTTGTTGGCAAATACTGTTACCCTCTGAGCCTATTTTTTGTTAGATAGACTAACCTTTTAAAGTTTGTGTTTTATTATTTTATTTATTTATATATATGTGTGTGGTATATGAGCAGATGAACGTGCTATTACTCTCTACCTTATTCTCTTGAGACACAGTCTCTCAGTGAACCCGGAGCTAGGCTGTGAGCTCCAGTGATCCTCCTGTCTCCCCTCCCACTGCCTCAGTGCTGGGGATGCAGGAAAAAGTGGCTCTTTACACAGGTGATGGGAATGTGAATGCAGGGCACCATGCTTGTGAAGCAATTGCTCTTACCAGCTGAGTCATCTCCCTGTCCCTAAGACAGGGTATCCTATGCATTCTCGTATGTATGTATGTATGTATGTATGTATGTATGTATGTATGTATGTATATGCACATAGAATCCTATGTATCCTGTGTATAATCAGCCTCCAACCCACAGTTCTCGTGCCACAGCCTCCCAAGTGCTGAGATTACAAACATTGTGTCACATGCATGGCTCACAGTGGGAGTCTAACACATGTCATTTAAAATCTCATGTCCATAACCTGCCAGTATCAATGTGTCTGATGAAATAATGCCAGGGCTTGTTTTTGTTTGAGCATGGAACTAAGTACAGAAACCATACTGAATGTAACCATAGGGAGGTGCCACTGTAGCCAACTCTAACTCTGGCTGTTTTAAACAGAAAGGGAATTTATTGAGATAATGCTGAGTATCTCAGACAATTTGGAAAAGGCTGGAAAGAATGGGAGAGTGGTAGAAAGGGAGGGTGTCTGTAAACTTAACCTCAGCAGAGGGACCTGTGGCCTCTCCAGGACCCTGGGCATGTGGTTTGCATCACCAGTTCTGAATACAATCCTGACCTTTCAGCCTCCAGAGAACATGCTCCCAGCCTGCCTTGCTCATTGCAGCAGAAGCTCAGGTGAGTACATCTGATCCACTGAAGTCACATCACATGTCACATACTTTTGCTCAGCCTATGGAGTGATCTGAGAGAGAGGCTATTTGCTGTTTTGATCTTCTGCTTGTGGGAAGAGGTCATCAAAAGCCATCCTGGCCTGGGGAGAAGGCTCAGGAGATAAACTGAGTGTGTAGATCTGAGCTCAGATCCTTGGAATCCACAAGAGCAGGAAGCAGTAGCCTGTGCTGTAATCTCAGCACTCTCTGTGTTGGGGAGGGAGGCAAAAGCAGGAGGAGCCCCCGAAGCTGTAGGGCTGACAGCCTGGCATATGCAGTGGTGAGTAACAAGAGCGCCTACCTTCCTCACGCAAGGTGGAGGCAAAGGATGAGGTTGTCCCGTGACTCCACAAGCATGCCATGTGCCTGGATTCTCACACACAAGCAGGCTTTCGAGCACACACACACACACACACACACACACACACACACACACACAGAGAGAGAGAGAGAGAGAGAGAGAGAGAGAGAGAGAGATTTTAAAAATGGTAACAGACCCAGGAAATTCTCTAAATGTAGGAAATAACGACAATCACAAACTATTTCTGGCTTCCTTGCAAATAACCCAGTGTTTCATGAATCAGATAAATCATGCCTAAGCCCATAAAACTTTATTCAGTGGGACTTTTGTGATCACCAGGGAGATGTTGCAAAGTTCTATATTGAAATAATTATCAAGAAATTAATAAAGCAATTTTTTGTTCATTCCAACTGCATGATCAAGTAAAAAATAACTTAAACCAAAAATATTAACGTCCTCACACTTACTAAATCATACATTTCCCTAATTTTTAAAGCTAGGCTATTTAGCATATAGATGCAGTGATTTGGAATATTTTCTCAGCTCAGGTGCTCCGCCTCAGGCCAATTTTGAAAAATGGCCTGGACGGGCAGTGGTGGCACATACCTTTAATCCTAGCACTCAGAAGGCAGAGGCAGGAGGATCTCTGTAAGTTCAAGACCAGCTTGGTCTACAGAGAGAGTTCCAGGACATGTTCCAAAGCTATAGAGAAACCCTGTCTCAGGAAAGGGGGGAAAAACGCAAAGCCAGGAGGTGGTGGTGCATGCCTTTAATCCCAGTACTTGGGAGGCATAAGCAGGTGGATCTCAGTGAGTTGAAGGCCAGCCTGGTCTACAAAGCAAGTTCCAGGATAACCAGGACTGTTACACAGAGAAACATTGTCTCAAAAAAAAAAAAAAAAAAAAAAAAAAAAAAAAAAAAAAAAAGCGGCAATGAAACTCTCATTTTTTCCTTTCCTTTTTTGTTGTCAACTTTATTAACTATATATTGGTAACTAGTTGAGCATATTAACCCATAACTATTCTTTATGTTGACATTTGCTATTATTTGGTACTGTCATTTTGAGGTTGGGCTTCTGCTGGAATATATAAAGAGTTACTATTTTCAAGTGGTGTTTGGGTTGTCAGGCAGGAGCCATGGAAACATACTATCCATCCTTTCTTTCCCATAGGGGTGGCACAATCTAAATCCTGACAACATATGCTTGCTTGTATCAAAGATACTTTCAATAAGCACTTGTTAGTGTTTCTTTTGTCCATTAATATTCTGTAACAACCACCATTTCATCTTCCTGTATAAAATACAATTGCAGAAACTATTAAGAAGGAAAATTTGAAGGATGTTTGTGACAGTCCATTTTCGTAGCTCTGTATGCTGTTAGCCGGTACTTTCCTAGGCAAGCATTTTTGAAACCAACATTCTGATTGCATCATAATGAGGATCCTGAACTTGACTGTTGAGCGTTTACTTCAGAGCCTAAACGCTGGCTGCTAAGCCCACAGGCAGAGTACCAAATCCTCACCCATGCTCACTTTCTTAGAAAAATGACATCTATTCAGCAAGGCTTCACAGGGCCAGGTACTCACACATCTCTTTCAGAATCTACTACCACACCTCTTCCCTGAACCCAGCTTTGTTCTTTATAGGGTGTAACAGTAAGAGTCAAAAGAGCACAGAAGAGCTGTGACTAAATCTCAGCCCTGTCACTCATGTGGGCAAATGACTTGAATTTTTTTTTAAAGATTTTATTTATTATGTATTTATGTATACAACATTCTGCTTCCATGTATATCTCCACACCATTAAGAGGGCACCAGATCTCATTATGGATGGTTGTAAGCCACCATGTAGTTGCTGGGAATTGAACTCAGGACCTCTGGAAGAGCAGTCAGTGCTCTTAACCGCTGAGCCATCTCTCCAGCCCTAGATGAACTATCTTATCCCGAGTCTTGAGGATATTTTTCAAGGACAGCTCACAAAAGGGGGGGGGCTTTAAAAAGGTCCCAAACTGTAGACAACAAATCCATAAGCAACACATCTAGGTGTCGCTTTGAATGTATTAGATGAGGATATCAACTTAATGTGTTTTCTGGTCCTGCCAGCTGCTTTTGAACATTCTAAATCTGATAGTAGTGGGTGTCTGTTTTTCCCAAAGGTTCCTGAAAATCTGGAGATAAATTTTTACATTCTTTGATGTTCCCCATAGAAACACAGATGTCACATGCCAAATGATGCTAGTATGATCTGTTAGGTTTTTACCACTTTAAAAATTTCCATTCCTACCTTACTGTTTGAGGCTCTCTATGCTTATAGACTTGTTCATTTTTAGAAAATACACGTAGTAGCATCTAGTTGGTTTTCCCTGGGGAACAGATGTCATTATGTTCCTGGGACTAGGTCCCCAGATCCAAAGATGATAGAAACGACATTGGCCAAGCAAAGCTTTTACTGGGACTCAATCCGGATGAGAGATGCAGCTTGGATCAGATGGTGGCTGCCTGAAAGAGTGGAAGAAGAAGATAGTTGGAAGAGCAGCTGCTGCCCAAAGTTCCCATCTGGGTTTCATCAAAACCAAGGTTTTGGATAGAAAGAGGGTCCTGTCCTAGCTGGTCAGCATCTACCCCCAGGTGTAGGTGGTTCACTGGTCAGCTTTGACTTCAGAACTCTGTCTTCATGGGATGGATGCCAACCAGCATGGGGCCTACTGAAGCCCTGCCTCGTCTGATGGGAGGAAATCAGCGTGCCTCTTGCTAAAGAAGTCCCCCTCACCCAGTTATCTCTGGAGCACTCCTCTCTCAAGTAGTTCAGGGTTCAGCCAGAAAAACAGAACCAACAAGAGGCGTATATTAAGAGATTTACTTCAAGGAATTAGCTTATGTGTTATATTGTCTTATAATCCTCTTTAATGTTACCCAACTATACGCCTTAGTTATTTCTAAAAAAGAAAAAAAAACCTTTAGCAACACCAACATTAGTATTTGAATAACCACGGGCTGTAATGTAGTCTAGGCGACACATAAAACTGACCATTACACCTTTCCTAGCGTTTAGGTGTTCTTGGAATTGCTGGAACCAGTCTTAGACGGAAGCATCTTAACTCTAGAGTTCACCTTGGAAACTTATACTCATCTCACTAATTTGATTTCTGTCTATACCACCTTGATTCTTGGTATGAAAAGTCAATGAGCCTCTTTAGAACCCCCTGAAGCTCTTGACTCACCCCTTGCTCTATGAGTGTTCAGGACATCTTTGGCCTCTCTGGTTCTTGCACTGGCTACAAGTTCCATGACTCTGGCCTCACCTGAGTTATGTTCTATGCCTCTCACCTCCCATACTGAATGATTCTCCTGATGTTTGCATTGTTCCACTTTATCCCCACATTCCCATAGACAATTCCGAATTTTCCAGTCTGTTCTCACCTCTTTCATAGTCTTCATCCGACTCGCCTTATTCTCTACTTCTGCTTCTGGGTAGGCTCTGCCCTTCTTACTCCACACTGGAAACAAGCAAGCAAGGCAAAATCTTATACTTCACTGCTGGCAGGAATTCTTCAGGGTGTACAGAACTAAATGCCAAAGCCACAATCACAAAATCCACCACATTATTACGATAGTCTATTTGTTTATAGAAATTTCTTGCCAAAACAAATGATGCATTCTTTAAAGGCTATCTGCATTCCTACATTTCCATTTGTCTTGTGTTCTTTCAAAAAATATTTTGTCCCAGCCAGGTGGTGGTGGCACACGCCTTTAATACCAGCACTTGGGAGGCAGAGGCAGCTAAATCTCTGAGCGTTTGAGGCCAGCCTGATCTACAGAGCTAGTTCCAGGACAGCAACAGCTGTTACATAGAGAAGCCCTGTCTCTCTCGAAAAACCAAAAAAAAAAAAAAAAAAAAAGGGGGGGAAGGGGGTTTTGTCCTTATTCCATTTCTATCTACCCAAATCATACCCATTCTTTAAGAAATTTTAAAGCTTTTGCATTTACTTATTTTCTGTATGAATTTTTCTGCCTACATGTGTGTCTGTGTACCACTGGCATGCCTACTGTCTACCGAGTCCAGAAGAGGACATCAGATCCCCTGGAACTGAGTTCCAGGTGGTTGTGAGCCTCCATGTGGGTGCTGGGAACTGAACTTAGGTCCTCTATTAGAGAAGCAAGTGTTCATAACTACTGAGCCAGCTCTCCAGCCCCAACACATTGTTTAAAGCCAACTGCAAATGACACCCTGTTCAGGAATTCCCTTTTCATATCCTTGAGTGGATATCTCGCCTCTCACCTCACTGGGACAAATATCACTCTTGCACATATTATAGTTATTCCACACATCTCTGGAGTAGAAGCTGTTCTTCCTCATGTTTCTGTTGCTGTTAGCAATCAATGCAGTGCTTTTCCCCAAACAGATGGTGACAGTTTTCCTCCGAAATGAATGTGTAGTGTGTATGGGGCAGAGCGGCACTGTTGAAGGTGTGGTCTGGTCTGCTCAGCTCTCTGCTTTCAGAGCAGCCGACCCTGAATGTGTAGTGTGTATGGGGTAGAGCTTTCTTTCAGCAATGACAGAGTGCAGAGGCTAAGCCACACTGAACACACTCTTTAAAACCCCTGTTTGTAGCACATCTGTGAACACAACAAGTAAGTCATATGGTCAGGTCTAAAAGTCAAGGGGTCAGGAAGGCACACATTGTTTTTGTGGGAGGCCCTGACAGCCGCACGAAAAAATAATGTGGCTACAGAAAGCATGAAGAGTCGGTGTCAATAATTCTGGGAACTACAGATTATCAGAATGACCTAGTGTTAGCACAGAAGACTTTTTCCTGACATCTCTTTGGATGTGGATACTAACCAGGAAAGTAGGAAGTGTTACTCTCATTCATCTTCAGTGCTGGCACTCAGGAGGTAGCTTGGTGGCATTTGGAGAGAGGGGAGAAAAACAAAGCAACAGCATCATTCAGCTCTCAAATTCTTCCTAGCTCAAAGAGCCTTAGTTGTACTTTCTCTTTTGTTCTCATGCTCTCCTCCTTGCTCACCCCCATCTAAAGCTCATATACTTCTAGGGGTGGAGAGGACACATGAGAAGGGAAGTTTTAACATTTCCTCAAACTTCATCATAGTTGAATCCAACTCAATGAAACAAAGCTAATGTCACACTGTAGAACAGAATATTTGTGCCTGCAAGAAAAGAATGCATTATCCTGACACAATTGAGATATTTAACCTCACTAACCTAGTGATCAGAAGTTATCTTTATTCAATGTGACCTCTAGGGCTTAAGGGTGCTATCCCAATTGTGCTCAGGGACAAACCCTGTTTCTGGGGTCTTGCTATCTCAGCTACCCAAGACCTACAAGAAAATGCTGCTCTTAGGGGCACATGGACCCTCAGGGCTCTTCTCATAGCTGTTCATTTTGAAGTCTTATGCCCCTGGAAAACATTCAGTCATCGATTTTTCTAAACTGACTCTGAGGCCACACTACAGTATTTAATGGATACTCATGTGCTGGGAATTCAAGTCACTTGTCGCCTCTTAATACGAATCGTTTTTTAATATATATTGAATTTGAACGACAACTTTTTAGTTCAGTTTTTCCCCCACTATCTATTTGCAGATAAACAAACCAAAGGTCACTCCAGGAATTCCAATCAAGGCCTGCTTGATCACAACAACCCAGTATTTTAACCATCTTAACCATCTTAACTACACAAATGAAAACTCAAACATCAACATTATTTTTTAAGTCAATCTATGGTGCTGGGGAAATGGTCCACCAGATAAAGAGTATGTATGCAAACACTAGGGCCAGGGTTCAGATCCCCAGCACCCACATAAAAGCCAGGCCAGTGTAATCCCAGTTCTGAGAAGGTGGGCATGGGGACTCCCAGGGGCAAGCTAGCTGGCTGAACTAGCAAAATCAGTGAGTTCTGGGTTCCGTAAGAGCCTGTCTCAGGAAATGAAACTGAGAGTGGTTGAGAAAGACATATGATGACATCCTCTGAACTACACACACACACACACACTTCACTTAATTACATTTCTTACTTTATTTAAATCCCCAGTGCATTTTGGAAAATAGTTACCCCATAGTTCCTATTTTTAGCTTACAGAAAACAAATCCACAGATTTTAAGTTGTGTGTGTTTTAAATAACTGTTAACTCCATTGAACCCAAGCACACTAATATTCTATTTCATTTCTACACAAGTCCTTGTATTTTGGCTCCAGTTAATATATGCTGTGTGTATAGTGTATCTTTACTACTAGAAATATGGAAGCATTGTCCTCATTTTGAGACTCATTTAAGGAAAATGCTGCTTTTCCTTTTATATCTGAGAACTGACTCGAGCTCACTAATTAACATAAGACTTGCTCCAGCATGTCCTTACAGAGAGCCAGAACCTCAAAATTGTTACCTGTGACCCATGTGATTTGGATATCTGAAATAATTCCTTATGCAATCAGTCAGACTTGCTCTCACTGTGTAGGACAGAAATATATCCATATTTCTTTTTTGCCCCTGGTCAACACTTTGTAAATAAATTTCCCTTTATTCACAAGGACTAGAGAATGTCAAAGTCTGTGTTCCCTGCACTTTTGTTTTCCAAATAACAGGGAAAAAGGAGAGGCAGGAAAGAAGGGAGACAGGTCACCAAGAGAATAACTTTATGTCATTGTCTCCCTCTTCCTTGAAACTCCTGTACCACAAGAGTGAAGTGTGGAAAGAAGTCAATGTCCAGACCAAAATGCATGAGAAGAACAGATGAGGCCCATGTGTTGCTGCTATAGAGGCTAAAGCAGCAGAAACAAAGGATGCTGGAGGACGGGATGCTGGTACAAGCTGTCAGCTGTGTGCTTCTGCTGGTAATAAGTCTCAATGGATATGGAATTTTACCATCAGATCCCTGAGAACACCTCTGCAGGACTGCCATGCTTATAACCCAAACAGTCCCTGTTGGCACTCTGACCTGTACCTGTGGTATTCTGGACTAATTCTGGACTAGTTCTCGCTTGTTCATTCTCACAAGTTCTCACTTGTGGCTAAGTGTAACTTGTACACAATAAAAAATCCTTCTGCTGTCTCAGCTAAAGAATAAAAACTATTAAAAAATAATTTCAGAAAAATCTTATTTATAGACTTTATTTTCTAATAAACATTCAATTTTTTGTAATTAGAGTAAAATAGTAATGTTGTAGAGGGGGAAATTAACAACAATTTCCATAAAAGCAAAAGTGCGTGTGTCTGTGTATGTCTCTGTGTGTTGTGTATATATGTGTGGGTATGTGTGTGTATTGTGTGTATGTGTGTATATGATATGTGTGTATGATATGTGTATGTGTGTTGTGTAAGCTATTGTCTGAGTTCCTTTTCAGTTGCCCTAGCATACTATCTGAGACTGAGTGACTGGGTGTTTTAGTTTTATTTCCTCTTGCTGTGATAAAATGCCCCGACAAAAGCAACTTAAAGGAGATAGGTTGTATTTGGCTCACAATTTCAGGCTGTAGTTCATTATTGTGGGCAGCAGCAACTTGGGGCAGTTAGTCCTGTCCACAGTTAAGAGCAGAGACTGAACAAATGCAGTCATACTTACTGGGCTTACTTTCTCTACTCTGACATAGTTCAGTATCCCCTGCCTAGGAAATGGTACTACCCGAAGTTGGCATGTCTTACCACCTCAGCTAACTTAATCAAGATATCGCCCTTAGCCTGGTGTGGTGGTGTGCATCTTTAAACCCAGGCCTTGAGGATCGGTGACAGGAGTATCTACATTGAGAATTCCTGGTCAGTCAAGGCAACACAGTAAGACCCTGTCTAAAAAAAGAAGATAACCCCCAACATACATGCCCACAGGAAGACAACTCTCACTGGGACTCTTTTCCCAGGGGCTTTTAGACTGTGTCAAAACTGCATCAGTGAGACTGTTCTGTGGGTAGAGGTGCTTATATGTAGGCCTAATAACCTTAGTTTAGTCACTGGATCCCACAAGGTAGCAGGACAGAATTGACCCTCCAGAGTCATACTTTGACTCCACATGCTGTGGCACAAACAAAAAACAATCTTGCTCACGTGCATCCCCCACCTCTTCACACAAACAAACAAATGACACACAATCTAAACAAAATTAGATTGTGTCAAGTTGACAAAACTAACAATTTATGAAGAAGAGTGATTTCCTTCTTACTGTCATAGAGGCTTAATTGTTCAAAAAGTAGTGCTGAGAGCTGGTCAGGGCATTCTTGTTTGTTAAAATAGGCAAGGCAGAGGATGTCACACAGCAAAGCAAGCTCACACGAGAGAAAAATCAGGTCAGACTCACTTACTAGGAGACTAGTCCTGTGGTAACAGACCTGCTCCCTCTAGAATAGCTTTTATCTAGACACTTTTTCTTATTTTTATTTTATATGTATGGTAAGTTTGCCTGCGTGCATGTCTGTGTACCCTGTGTGTGTTTGGTGACCACAGAGGCCAGAAGAAGGTGTCAGCTCCCCCTGGAACTTGAGTTACAGATGGCTGTGAGCCACCCATATAGGTGCTGGGAATCTCTGGAAAAGCAGCCAGTGTTCTTGTTTTTTTTAAGAATTTATTTATTTATTATGTATACAACATTCTGCTTCCATGTATATCTGCACACCAGAAGAGGACATGTTGTCTTAACGGATGGTTGTGAGCCACCATGTGGTTGCTGGGAATTGAACTCAGGACCTCTGGAAGAACAGTCAGTGCTCTTAACCTCTGAGCCATCTCTCCAGCCTGCAGCCATTGCTCTTAACTCCTGAACTATCTCTCTAGCTTCACTAGACTAGGCTTGTCTTAAAAGTCCTACTTTTTAATACTGTAACCTTCCTGGAAGGAATGGGAAGATTCTAAAGAGATTCTTTCTCAAGTCTCTAACCTGAATGACTGTAAACTGACTGGACAGTGTACGTGGTCTACAGAGAAATGGGTCAGAGTTTAATGCTGACAAAATCCCAGACTCTACCACGTAATAGTAAATTGTTTTACAACTGGGTAAATTGTTTAATCCCTTTATCCTTAGTTTTTCTCTTAGCATCTAAAGGAAAATGACGTCAGGGGTTATTCTGAGGACAAATAGAACATTTTTATTGTTTCTAGTTTTTTCCATGGTATTCAAAATAAAACAGCAATTCCTGCTATTTGGAAGAAGTAGTTAATTTTCTGTTCATGAAGTTTAAAAAAAAGACGGTAATGTGCCTAAAGAGGGTACATTTCCTGAGCATCCATTTGCTCTTCCAACAATAAAGAGCCGTAGTTACAAGCTTGCAAGTGTTCTGCCCTTATCTCCCAAGTGGAATGATTCACTTTATTACTGGCCAGTGGCATATGAAGAATAGTGCTATGTCTAACCATCTGATCAAGAACTCCAGTTAAGTTCTTCCTCCATTCTCACTTCCCTCGATCTTTCCTATGAGGGGTTGAATTGTGTCTCTGCCTCCATCCAAATTCTCATTGTAAAATTCTGATACCCAGTTCCTCAAGGCCTGACTTTATTTGGAAATGGGGTCACTACAGATGTAAGATGAGGTCTTTGGGCTGTGTCCTAATCCAGAATGGCTGGTGTCTGGTGTCTCTATAGAAAGAGGGAAGTTTGGACACATAGAACAGATGACATAAAGATATGCTGGGCTGGCTGCATACTTTCTTGCAGTAATGACTTGGATGCATGGTGGTGTGTGAGCTGTGAGCCCTCTGAGCCACATCCTTCCGGTGCTTTGCATTTCAAATGCTGCACCAAGGCCAGCACTGCCTGGGCCAACCTTCCCAGGAACAACTTCCATACAAGTTCCCAGGAGCAGCTTTTCTCTGCCTTTGGCAGCAGTATCCAAACCGCTGTAACAAACATGTCTTGACTGAAGTCATGTCACACTGGGAGATGACCCCTGACCAGAACCTTCCATGTTGGAGACTTCAGAAAGACCAGCAGTATGCCCCACCGACTGTTTCCAACAACACTGATCACTCACTGTACATTCTAGAGGACACCACAATCTTGGACCCTCAGAATCAAACTGTAGCCATCTTCACCTGGAACACCAACCATGCCCACCCAGTTGATGGTGGTGGAGAAAGTATGTATACAGTAATTACTACTATGAGTTCTGACCCAGTGGTAGACAGAATTCCTCTGGGAATTCTGGATCTCCAAAGCTGTCTAGGACTTTGTTCTTCCCCTGTTCAAAAGCAATGTGATGAGAACAAGATCTTTGAATACTTTGTGATTTGAGTCTCTCATTTTCCCTGTCTCTGACCTTCAGACCTAAATTGAAATGTCTCCAGTGATTTAGTCATTCCTGCCTAGATAATCTCCCCATCATAATGTCAACTGATCTGTGACCTTAGTGATTGCTACAAAATACCTTCATTGCAACACCTGTATTAAGCTCCATATGTTGGTATATGTCTACTAGGGCAGGAAATTTTGGGGTCAACTTAGACATTCTTCAGTTCAGCTGTCTTTTTTTTTAAAGATTTTATTTATTATGTGTACCACATTCTGCTTCCATGTCTATCTGCACACCAGAAGAGGGCACCAGATCTTATAACGGATGGTTGTGAGCCACTATGTGGTTGTTGGGAATTGAACTGAGGACCTCTGGAAGAGCAGTCAGTGCTGTTAACCTCTGAGCCATCTCTACAGCCCCCAGTTCAGCTGTCTGTCTACTTTAAAATCCACTTTAGATTTAAGGCTAGTAGTTTATAACTGGAGAAAGGATAATTTTGCTCCCTCTGTCCAAGAGACATCTGTTAACATCTGGAGACATTTGGATGACACCTAATTTGTAGGGGCCAGAGGTGCTGCTCCAATGGAAGGACACAACCTTCCTACAGTGGATATGAACTCAGTTATCTGCACTCATAGAACTATGGACAGCTTCTCATGTATAAATGGAGAATTGTCTTCGGGTTTTGAGCAGCCCTGAGACTTCAAGTGAGTGAGTCACCAAAACAAGAACAGAAGAGATGGACAAGAAAACTCCCTGAACAAAGAATGATCCAACCCAAGTTGTCAGGATTGAGAAAGCCTCTCTTGAAGACAATTGTAATTATGCTATAAAATTGCACTATCCAATCTCATACATGTAAATAAATGTGCAAGAATTTGGAAGAAGTGTAAGAAAAAGAAGAGGAAGAGTCAATGCACTAATGAATGGGAGGTAGATTTACAGTCAAGGTTTATAAGTAATAGCAATAAAACTGTCATAAACTAGGATGAGGAGGGGAAAAGGAAGGGCTATAGGGACAATAGGAGGCAATAGATAGTGATTAAAATCCACAAACAAATGACACTTATAGTTATTTCATTTAAAATCATGGTTCTAACCCCTTAAGAGAACTGAAAGTTCAAAAAAGTCTCAAAGGCATTAATCAAGGAACTAAGTTTCAGAATAAGAAGAATAGAGTGCAATAAATTGAGCTGCCCCCTTGTTTAGAAAACAATGAAAAATGTATAATAAAGTGTATAATTTTTAATAAAGTATAAGAAGAATACATTTTTTAAAAAGAGGGCTTACAAGTTAACCTGGGTGACTTATTCATAGTAACTCGTCGTATAGTAACAGTACTTACAATACAATATTGTACATAGTATAAGAGTGATAATATTTTACTAAACACACAGTAGTCTCTAAGAGATTTTGTCTTTCAGATACCAAATCGTAACTATTTACATTACAATAAAATCCTTGTGCTAACCTTCTGTTTCTGTAACAAATACTTGAGACAAATCAACTTAAAAAGCAGAAAGGTAGCCAGGCAGTGATGGCACACGCCTTTAATCTCAGCACTTGGGAAGCAGAAGCAGGAGGATCTCTGTGAATTCGAGGCCAGCCTGGTCTACAGAGTGAGTTCCAGGACAGCCAGGGCTCCACAGAGAAACTCTGTCTCAACCAACCAAACAACCAAACAAACAAACAAACAAAAATCAGAAAGGCTTCTTTCAGCTAACAGTTTTAGACGTTTCAGTCCATGATTAGTTGGGCCCCCATGGCTCCTGGGCCTATGGCAGACAGAATTTGTGGTGCAAACTTGTGGTCAAAGAAGCTGCTTAGTTCCTGGTGGTGTGAAACAAAGGTGGGGCACACCCCCCACCACCCTGGGACCTAAGTTTGTTCATTAGACTCCATATTCCAAATTTCCTACTGCTTCCCAGGAGCATCACAGACTGAAGGACAAGCCTTCCATACACAAGCCTTTAAGGACACTTACCCAAACCATAGCAACCAGTTCTTAAAATGTATCTCACATACTGTCATTTGTAGTGACCCCAAATTGTATCACATTATGGATGATGTGGGTTACAAGTAGAAATAAAATGAAAATAATTATATGATTCAAATGATTAGTTGAAAGGCTCAAGATTAATGTTTTGGTTTTCATTTTAACTTTTCAACATGCCTATTATGACTAAATGAAAATGGGTACTTTGTTCTGATTTTGTATCATTGTATTTTATTACAATTTTAAATTTAGTGCTGCTTCGTTTGGCATTTAGACCTGCACTTTGATGATGCCGAATGATGATGGTGATACAAGAGGAACACAAAGGTGTTTCCCCAAGGGGTTGCCTCCCAAAGGGATGCCAGAGTTGAACAGAAAACTGCTACACTTTTGGATAAAATCTGATGATCAGCTCAAAAGACATGGAAAAGATCTTGCAAATCAAAGACTGTAATATTTTGTAGTTTCCTCCACTTCGGGAGTATGTAAAAGTGCATTGAATCAGGTTGAAGCCTAATTTGGTCTATGAAAGTGGCTTTTGCCAATAGTCATCACCCATACTGCTGGTTTCAGAGGTTCTCATCCTATAAACCAGATGTGTCCCCTCCCCCCTAGGGAACACCAGTGATAGGTTTCCTCTGTCACCTCCATGCCCATATATATCTCAGTCCACCATTGTGACTGCAAGGAGACTGGTAAGAGTCCGGGAATCTGCATACAGCTTGTCTCTGCCTCTTACTGTAACATATTGGGCAAGTCATCTGATGTCTCTAAGTCTCCACTTTCCTTATCCATAAAACAGACACCAAACAAAGCTGCAGGATTGTCTGTGAGCCTAAAGAAACTACACACTGCATCAGTTTCTATGAGGGACAAAGTATTACCTGGTGATATTTTAACTGACATCAGGTTTAGCACTTCTTTGTGTCCCATTTGTCCCTCCAAGTAATCCTAGTAATACTACAGCCTGGGACTGCTCACGACACCAAGGACACCTGACAAACTGACCCTGTACTAATGGTTGTCATGGAAATAAGCTTTTACCATGTGTCCAAATTTCTCCAGTGTAAACCATGGAGGAGGTGGACTAGGAGTTTTAAAAAATAGGCTTCTAGAGCCATGTTGTGATACATGCCTTTAATCCTATCATTTGGGAAGCAGAAGCAGGAGGATCTCTGTGAGACCAGCCTAGTTCTGAGCCAGTAAGAGCTACATGCATCTCTCTCTCTCTCTCTCTCTCTCTCTCTCGCTCTCTCTCTCTCTCTCTCTCTCTCTCTCTCACACACACACACACACACACACACACACACACACACACAGTAGAATTCTTGTTAAGAACAATACAAAATTATCTACCAACCCAGGACTGATCTCTGTGTTTATAATGCTGCTGTTTCTGGGCAGTGAAGCAGAGTTTCTTTTTCAGCATTAGAGTTTACAACATGATTGCAGCTACTCAAATCTCTAAGTGCCACTTGTCTTACACTTTCCTACTTAGAAAATGATGTTGCAGAACCACAAAGGAATCGAGAAGTATACAAATTTATAGAGGAAGCTTGGGTTGACCATGAAGACCGATCACACAAACCTGAAATGTGAAACAAATTCTAACCTTTACTCTTTAAAAGTCCATGCTATGGAAGAATGAAAGGAAGGGAGGAAAGAAAAAGCCTGAGAAACTTTTTATATTGAAAATACTAAAGCAACATAAAACGACTGGCAATATGTGAACCCGGACTGAAAAAAATTTATGAAGTAATCTGGAAATAAAGAAATTTGAGTATAGACTATATGAAATTGCTGACATTCCAGGCATAAAACTGCTAGCTTAATTATTTAGAAAAATTGTTTATTCTTGGGTGATATCAAGTGATAATTCTAGAAAGAAATTAGGGCTGAAGTGTTGCCATGGCTTGCATGTGTTCTCCAGATTTATGTATTGGAACTTGATTCTTAAACCCATGTGTTGTTGGCATTTGGAGATGGGCCGTTGGGTGTAGCTGAGGTTAAATGAGGCTGCATGGGTGTAGCCTCTTTGATGTTGTTAGTGACTTTATAAGAAAAGAAAGAGGATCTGAGTTAGCATACTGGGCCATCTTGTCACATTCTGTCCTCTGTCACTTTAAGGTTCATTGAGAAGCTCCTCCCAGATGCTAACCAGATGTTAGTGTAGAGTTCTTGGGCTTCCCCATCTCAGGAAACTCAGGCAAATAAACTTGTATTCTTTAGAAGTTACCTAATCAGAAATGTTGTTTTAGTAACAGGAAGTGGACTAGACAAAGGTCATGATTTTTTTGCAACTTTTCAGATGGTTTAGTGGAAAAGCTGGTATACTTATGTACTGTGCACACACACACAGAGAAGAGAGAGCAAATATAACAGTGACTAATGTAGGTGTCAGGTGTGTACATAAACCTTGTACCATTCCTTCAGCTCCTCTGTGGGACTGGAGAGCTTAAATTTGTATTAAGTTTGTATTTGCAGTTAAGTATATTACTGGTCACTTGTACACATTTTGTTTGTTCTTTGCTTTTGCTGACTGTCCTCCCCCCCTACTTAACATAAACCCTTAGCAGCAGCTATTTATCAACAAAAACAAAACAAAACACCATTGGGTGTCAATAAACAAGTGTCAGGTGACAAACTTTTGACCAACTATGAGCCAGTTCACTTGTGGAGTTATCTCTGTAGTGTCACATGTTTGCTTTACGAGGAGCTTTGTGGCCCTGTTATCCATGATTTCTCGGGGTGTGACTCTTTCTGTCCCTCCTGCTGTGCAACTTCTTATGGCAGGGGTTTTCTTTGCCATTCTTCTTCACCTCAGAAGCTCTCATCCAATGCTTCAAAGTCCGATTGTGTGGGCTGACGCAGATCCTTCTGCGTTTAACATGGAGGCTGCCAAGAAAAGGAAAAAGAAAATCTTCACAGAAATCACAAATAGCAGGTGTAGTGGGTGCACATCTTTAATCCCAGCACTGGGAGGCAGAGGCAGGTGGATCTCAGTGAGCTCGGGGCCAGCCTGGTCTATAAAGTGAGTTCTAGGAAAGCCAGGAATTTTTACACAAAAAAACCCTGTCTCCAAAAACAAAAACCAAATTAAAAAAGAGAGAAAGAGAGAAAAGGAAAAAGTAGGAAGAGAGGAAGAAAAGGAAGAAAGGAAGGAAGGAAGGAAGGAAGGAAGGAAGGAAGGAAGGAAGGAAAAAGCCAAGAAGACCTCTTGATTCTCCTGATTCTTGACCCAGGAATGCTTTGGTGGCACAGGCCCTTACTCACAGCACTTCCGAGGCAAAGGGAAGAGGATCTCTGTGAGTTCAAGGCCAGCCTGATCTACAGAGTTCCTGGACAACCAGAACTACATAGAAAGACCCTGTCTCAAGAAAAAAAAAAAAAAAGTATTCCAGTGAGTGTGAGCTGTGGTCCTCCTTCGAAGACTATTCCTGGCATTGTCCCTAAAGTGTATTTCTTCTCCATTTCGTCAGAGTAGCACTTCAAAACTACTTCTGAGAAATTCTAGCCAAGTGATGGTGGTGCATGCCTTTATTCCCAGCACTCAGGAGGTAGAGGTAAGCGGATCTCTGTGATTTCGAGACCAGCCTGGTCTGCAAAGTGAGTACCAGAACAGCCTCCAAAATCACAGAGAAACCCTGTCTCAGAAGAAAAAGAAAGAAAGAAAGAAAGAAGGAAAGAAAGAAGGAAAGAAAGAAGGAAAGAAAGAAGGAAAGGAAGGAAGAAAGAAATTCTAACATCCTGAATAACTTCATGGGGTGGGGTTGGGAGTGGACAACAATAACAAGCAGATTCCTCTTCTATCCAAGAGATAATCTCTGTGAAGTACAAGAAACCTCTGCCAAAGATAACAGCTTTTCACGGTGTTTCTGGAAGTTCCTTAATGAAGTCTCAGTAGAGGGGTATAAACAAGCAAACTGCTGTCTTGGGAGAAAGCACAGTGATCATTTATAGGTTCAGAAACAAAGACAATATAGGGGAAGAGTCTAGTGAGTTCATTGATCTTTCATTTCTATTAATTAATCAATTGTAGCTTATGGTGTATGATTCCTGGGAGAAACATTTGGAATACAAGTGCTGCTCTCTGCATCTTAAACACTGGTCTCCAATCTTAAAGCCTTTATATGCTGTCATGGTTAAATGACTACATTTTGGACAAATACAGGTATGCTTCTGTAGTAAAATCATTTGAAAATAAGACTTCTTAGGTTGAGTATTAGAAAACATAACAGAGGATCTGTAACTTACCACTTAAAGATACAAAAACATATAAATTTGAAACTAAGTCACAAGTGTCCTGTATTTTTCAACTTGCTTATCAGCACAGAGTTCAATTTATAAATTTGTACTTTCATAAATTATGTTTAAAAACAGAGATTGGCTTCATAATTTCCCTTTAAAAACTAGTACTTTGGTGGCTAGTGAGATGTTTCAGGGATTAAGAGCACGGGCTCCTCTTCCAGATTCCTGAGTTCAATTCCCAGCAACCAGTTGGTGGTTCACAACCATCTATAATGGAATCACACATCCTCCTCTGTCAGGTATGTGTATATGCAGATAGAGCACTTATGCATAAAAAATTAATTTAAAAACAAAACAATCCAGTACTTTGAAAAGGTTAATTTCACATTTTTCTTCCTCAAAGTGAGGATGTTATGATTCGAATGTAAAATGTTCCTTACAGGCTAATGTTTCAAACGCCTGCTGACTGTTGTCCTGTTTGGGGAAACTAGGGGACCTTTGGGAGACAGGACCTTGCTGGGTCCTGTCCTATTCACTAGGGATGGGCTTTGAAAGTCATAGCCCGACTCCTGGTTATGGGTTCACTCTCTGCTTTCTGGTCCACCATGATGTGAAGAGCCTCTGCCTTATGCAACCTCCTACTACGAGCTCCACCATGTCTTGACTACCACCACTGCCATGAACACTTAAAAACTATCAGCCAAATAAATCTTTCCTCCATAACATTGTTTCTGTCAGACATTTGGTCAGAGAAGGACAAAATCGGCAAACATAGAGGCTTTACATTGTTTTTGTTCCTGTGCTTTTAACATCTCTGGCATCCATTAATCCCTGCTTAAATTGAAGTCCTTTTGCTGATGGTATGCTCTTGGAATCCTGGAAAGCTGTCTCTCACATACACACACAGGAACTGTTTCTATTTTTCTAATTCTACCTTGTAAACGCTCTTATGACTACTTTAGGCTGAAATGACAGACATGCCTATATCAGCGATATGGAAGGACTTGAGAAGAACAGTTGGAAGCTTGGTGTTTCTCAAAGCAGCCAGAACAGGCTTGGTCAGTTCAGTTCAGCAGTATAGGTGAAATGCAAACATCCAGATGACTCAGGTTGTTATCAACTATCTATGAATTTTTGACTCTCCAGCTATTACCAATGATATCTATTAAGATTAAATAAAACACTGGTAGAATTTCAATTGAGTACACTTTTATTAGTCTTAGAGGACTATTTAAAGGACAGATTTAGGGGAGGGTCATGGTTTCAGAGGGTTCAGCCCATGATTGATTGGCTCCAAACATTTGGGGAGGACACCATGACAGTGGGAATATATGCTGGAAAGTAGTGCTTCATATTGGGATGGGCAGGAAGAAGCACATCCACCAGTGATGGGAAGGAAGGGACTGGGAGCAAAGTCATACCCCTAGTGATCCACTTCCTCCCATAAGGCCCTATCTCCAGCAGGCCCCGCCTTCTAGAGTTTATCAAACCTCCCAGAACAGTGCCACTAGCTGCAGAGCAGTCATTCAGCAATAAGCCTATAGGAGACATATTATATTCAAACCATAGCTCAGAGATTTCCCAAACATAGAAGAAGGCACCTTATAGTATGTCTCCTGGACTGCTGCAGATTATACTGGTCCCCAGTGACTAAACCATCCAATCTGATGGAACTAGGGCAGTGCAAACTGAGGCAGCTGAGAGTTCTCCACCCACTGTTTTCCTCTGTAGTCACTCAATATTATCTAATCTTGGACAAATAATCGTATGCTCCTCAGACCCCAAGTGTAGTCTTAAAACTCAATTCATAAACCCTGTCTCAAAAACAACCCCCCCCAAAAAAACAAAAAATAACAACTCAATTCATCTCTGACTCTTATGAGAATATTTTAAAACCATGGACCAGACCCTATCCTCAGGAACATGCTTACAGGTTTACACATAAATTGTCAAGGAATCCAACAGCCCACAATTTACGAACTCTTTCTCTGCCACTTTTAGAATTCTTTGTCTTGGATCAGGATTTCTCAACTTCCATCGCAAGTGGGTGTCTGAAAAGATGCTGAGAAATCCTCAACATTCATTTTCTCATTCTCCTAATAATAAAATAGCAATAACTGGGTGTATGATACAAGCTATGCAATGCATTTGTCCTTTCTCTTGAAAAAGTGTGCGTGTGTGATGGGGAATGTACTGTGTATGTTTATCTTATTGATTGTTAAATAAAATACTGTTTGGCCAATGACACAGCAAGTAGACGGGACTAGGAGTCAAAGAGGATTCTGGGAAATGTAGTAGAGAAGTGTGATCTAGGCAGGAAGTGACATAGCAAGGAGATTCATACTTAAGCGAAGGAGAAACAGGAGGGGTCTCTCTTTTCCCCTCTGCTCCTGCTCCAGCGCACAATGTGAGCCACCGGCAAGGAGGGATGTCAATAAGCATCCGATAAGATAAGTCTTATAAAATATATAGGTTTATGATAGTTAAGACTGAGCTAACAGGCAAGAATCCTAGTCATTGGCCAAGCAGCATTGTACCTAATATAAGTTTCTGTGTATTCATTTGGGCCTAACTTGGGCCGGCGGCTGGCGAAAAGCACACATGTGGCGGTGGGGCTCATGCAGCTTTTGGCAGAAAGATTTATCATAGTGTGTGTGTGTGTGTGTGTGTGTGTGTGTGTGTGTGTGTGCTAGATTATAGACAATCATAGGATGGCCTGTAGAACCCAGCTGGATAAAAAGTTTCTCAGAGACTTCAGAAAGACAGAGACCACTGGATCTCTGCTGTATTCTCAGAACATGGAAGAGTTCTTGGTACTTAACCACTGACTAATAGATACTTGTCAAATTTGTTAATAGAACGAAGGTTCCTGGGTGTCTCAGAAGCTTGGGCTTAGGCAATGTTATTTTATAGTCCAAAGGAACGACTGCCAAATCGCTCCCTAGCATCATCTAGATTCATAAGTAGTGTTAAACCCAGCACACCAGGGAGGTAACTCACATGTGATACACTAAAGTCTAAGAGGAAAGAACTTTTTCTTTGTTGAGATAGGCTATAACTGTGACCCAGGCTGACCTTGAACTGGTGATCCATCCTGCCTAACTCTCCTGAATGATAGGATTACAGGCATATACCTCCATACCTGCCCTTGGAAGAACACATTATGGTGAGCTCCACTCTTCTTTCGAATGACCTTGGAAGATAAATAGTGTTATAAACAAGAGAGCTGTGTGAGAATTCCATTTCTGCCATTTGCTACAGCAGGTGAACTATGTAACCTTGACCACTGGCTCCTTCTGTGTGACAGGGAAATAAATTATGCCTTCCTCTCAAGCTGTTGTTGGCCTACAGTTCTGACCCTGAGGTGTAATGGAAGTGATGGGAGGGCCAAGTGGTTCACCAGGAACCAACAATCAGAATCAAAAGCAAACAGGAGCATCTGCAAATGAATTTCGTGCAGTTCTGTGACAAGTGCAGCCATTGCCACACTACTTATCAGTCCATAAATTCCTATTTAAATCAGAGAGTAAAAGTGTCAGCAACCAAGCCTTCCTGGGGAAAGTTACAGTTTAAAGCGTGATGGATGGCATTGTCATCCCTGATTGCTGCCTTGTCCCTGTCATTCAGAATCTCCCTTGTTTTGCTTAGTAAAGCCACTAATGGTTTTCACATCTGAAGACATTTAACCCGAACACAGCATTTTGGGGAGGCTGAAGGGAGAGTGTAGGACTCAGGGCACTCCTGTACAGAGAGATTGTGTGTTTACTCCAGGTAGCCTGACACTCAAAGACAGGAGAGTTACTCCTCCCACTCTTCTTTGAATGACGTGTAGGTTGTGTGTCAGGTAAAGCATTTCAAGCCAGCATTTGTTAGCCAAGGGGATAGTCAGCATTCAGGTTGACATGTCCTTGCTGAGGAACACTCACATGACGGCAGCCAAGTCACAGTCCCCGTCAGCCCTCTGGATGCTGCATGAATTCACTCTTTCCAGAAGCCTTCTGGAAATATGATGGGAAACTTCAGTGCAGCAGCTGGAAGCTATGGGAAGTATGGCTACAAGAGAGGGAAGGAAATAACATTACAGTCTGCAGAATCCCGACTTGACCTCATCTTAGCTTGCAGAGAAACACAGTAAATCCACTCAAGCAAGTACTTCCTTGGGGCTTCTTAAGACGGGCCGTGTCTCCACTTTATAGAACTTAAGCTGTAGTAGGAAAGAGAAAATGTAAATGTGGGCAAAGTGACAAAACAGGTGAGAGACAAGAAAAGCGGCAGCCAGCGATGACCATAGAGTTGCACATGGAGGATGGAGAGAGTGAGTCACCCGTGCAGTTCACTTTGAAAAGGACAGGCCTTGTGTGTTGTAGAATGTTATTGTAAGGTATGTTACTTTTGTTTATTATGCTCGGGAACACTTGTTTAATGATGCAAAGATGTGTTTGAGTGGGGCAGGAGAGATGCCTCAGAGGTTAAGAGTACTGACTGCCCTTCCAAAGGTCCTGAGTTCAATCCTCGGCAACCACACAGTGACTCACAACTATCTGTAATGAGATCTGGTGCCCTCTTCTGGCCATATAAATAATAAATAAATCTTTAAGCCAGATCTCAGATCTCTGTGAGTTAGAGGCCAGCTCTGCTCTCAGAGCGAGTGCCAGGACAGGCTCCAAAGCTACACAGAGAAACCCTGTCTGGAAAAACCAAAAAGAAAAAAAATGTATTTGATTAAATAAAATTCACCTGCAGTCAGGAGGTTGAATCAGCAACTAGCTGACTAGAAGTGGTAGGGAAGAGGCAGGTGGAGAAGGGTTTTTAAGGAGGGACGAGAAGAGGCAGAGAGATTCGAAGAGAGGAGGTGAGCTAGTAGCTTTGAAAGAGCCAGTGCCCGAGGGAACAGAATTCCCTCAGGCTGCTGCTCTTGCGGCCTAATTGACTGCTTGAGTTGCAGTTGCTGATTCGGACAGCCTTGGTTTAAAAGGCAGTAACAATTTGGGTCCTGCAGTGGTGGCACATGCCTTTAATCCCAGCACTTGGGTGGTAGAGGCAGGCAGATCTCTGTGAGTTCAAGACCAGCCTGGTCTACAAGAGCTAGTTCCAGGACAGCCTCCAAAGCCACAGAGAAACCCCGTCTCGAAAAAAAACAGCAAACAAACAAACAAAAAGGCAGTAACAATTTAAGGAGAAGGACATCACTCATGGACCTCAGGTGAAAGCTTGAAGTTTTCTAGCATGCATGAGGTAGCCAATTCAGTCTCTACCACCTGTAGAGTGGTAAGCACAGTGGTGCACACCTGTAACCCTAGCACTCAGGGACCAGAGGCAAGAAGACTACTAGCTTGGGGCCAGCCTAGGCTACATAGTGAGATTCTGTCTTAGACACACACACACACACACACACACACACACACACACACACCAAAAAAAGACAGAGTTAAAAAAATCTGAGATAAAAGCACATGACACAGTTAGGGTGCCTTTTCTGAACTGAATTAGCTAGGAAGGCTAGTGTTGGCAGGTACAATCTAGGAGATGCTGAACTGACATCACTAGATCCTCAAATGACAGTCTGAGGAGGCTTAGCTTCTCTGAAAAAGAGATCACTGTTTGATAAAGAGAAAATTCATCTTGTAGTAATAATGAAGATGGATTAAGTGGCAGTGGGGGGTGACACTGAAATGAGCTTATTGCTGTCAAGACATAAGGCATTAAAGACAGCACAATTACAAAAATACATTCCTCATGTTAAAATATCTGCAAATCCCCATGCTCTCCATTTTACCAACTGAATAGTGAAACCAACACTGTGAGAACCTTAATGAGGGACGGCTGCAGATGGCAGTCTCACAAAGAGAAGACAGCTTCGAGAGAACCAACAATTGGATGCAACATGTAGACCTCTACCTAAGCAGTAGAAGTGGCTGCATTTGGGATGAGGGAAGATCTTTATGTCCATGTCTAACCCACATGGAAGTGCCAGGTCTATCCACAGCTTTGGGGGACGAAAAGCAACTGACCACGAAATTTAAAATATATGACTACTTTCTAGGCATCAAACCTTTGTTACCATTGATTAGTTTACTCGGTCATTTGATGGTTAAATAAAATACTATTTCTTTTTAGCAGTTAGACTGTTCCCAACATAATTTTACTCAATGGGAGATGTAAAAGTAATTTGGAACTTAATACTTCAGATATAATCCCACTGGCCCAGGTAATTATGCTTCTAGGAGATGGTTCTCTCCTTCCTCCAAGTGGGTTCTAGGGCTCAAACTCAGGTGTCCAGTCTTGGTGGCAAGCAACTGAGCTATCTTGCTGGCTCTAGTTCTGGAATTCTGTCCTTCAAAAGGAGTCATACAAGTTATAAGGACAGGTGCACAAAACTTTTGAGTTCATCTAAAATAAGTGAAAAATAAGTAAAAAAGATTTCAATGAAGAAGTGATGCATACTTTAAAAAGGTTAATTTGCTAGGAGTATATGTATGTATCATATATGCACTTAATATCAGAGTACCTAGACATATCAAATAGTGACAGTCAGAAGAGAGAAACAAGTAGCAAATGCAATAGTGTCAGAACTATTGGACTCCACTGTCAAAAGAGGACAGATCACTCACATATGAAGTCAGTGAGGAAACAACAGACTCGAGCAACACTAGATCAGACGTACCCAGCAGGTACATACACAGCATGCGACTCAACCACAGCAGAGTACATATTCTTCTGCTTGCACAGAGTAGTTAGTCTCCACAATAGATTACATACTAGGTAAGAGAATAAATTTAGGGAGGTTGAAACCATTCCAGATATCTTTTAGGTATGACCACAATGACAAAAGAAAACTAATAAATACAAGGAAATTTAACAACACACACTTGAACAATTTGTTTTAAAGATTTATTATGTATATAGTGTTATGTCTACATGTATGCCTTCAGGCCAGAAAAGGGCACCAGATCACATTGTAGATGGTTGTGAACTGGTGGGAATGGAACTCAAGACTTCTAGAAGAGCAGGAAGTGCTCTTAACCACTGAGCCCCCTTTAACAACTTTTTTTTTTTTTTTTTGGTTTTTCAAGATAGAGTTTCTCTATGTAGCTTTGGAGCCTCTCTGGCACTCACTCTGGAGACCAGGCTGGGCTCAAACTCACAGAGATCCATCTGTCTCTGCCTCCCGAGTGCTGTGATTAAAGGCGTGTGCCACCAACGCCCGGCCGTAGAACAACTTTTGAGCTAAGGAAGAAATCAGAATGGAAGCTAGGAAATATCTTGATATAAAGAAAATAAAAACAGAACACACCTTAACTTGTGTAATATTGCCAAATAGCATTGAAAAGAAAGTTTGTTTCAATGAGCAGCTACAGTAAAAAAGAAAGACCCCCAAGAACTTATTCATAATGTCCACTAAAAGCTAAATAAACTGTAGCACATCCAGTGAAATGAGGGATGTGCTAGATATAGATATGTTCAGATATAAATGCCCATACCTTAGAGAAAAAACACAAGAGCTGCAGTAGAAAGCCCATTAATATCCTGTCATTAGAGGGGAGTAGCCTACAAGGCCCCATCCCTCCCAGAGGACACATAGGCAGTTAATGGTTGCTGGGGGAAGGAGACACCTTTTTCAGTGGTGTAGCCCCTGGTAAGGTGCCCCTTGTCCTATAAACAACCCCAAAGAAATTCATTGAGTCATAACCAAGAACAACAGCAGCAAGAAGACAAGGAAGTAGAAGGGTTCTAGTTTGGATGAGGATGAGGTGATGGCGGTGAATATGATCAAAATATGAAGATGTCATAATGAAACACATCACTATGTATGTTTAATATATGCAAATAAAAACTTTGGGGGAAAAGAATAAATGGTTTTTAGTCCAATGTATTTTTGTATCCTTGGGAAAATAGGGTACACATAGACTCTCCAAATATATGTTGATTATGTGTCTATGTAAGCTTATTCACAAAAGTCCTCAATAACTTCTAAACTACAAATTCTGGTTAATAACTGTATTTAAAATACAGCTATACAAGTGATATAAAGCATTTGTACTTCTGCTCAGCTCCACTGTTCAAGGGAGGAAAATGAACATTTCCCAGACTAAACCATCATGCAGCAAGGATCTTCTTTTCCCCCCCAGTAATCTAGATGTAGTAAAAGGTTTTCATTTTGTCATGCGTATGAGTATGCATAGAGTCAACTAGATGACATAGAAGTAGAAAAACATAATTCGTCCAAAAAGTATTTTTTTGAGGGACCATCATGTGATAGACTCTCAATTTGAAATATCCAAATAAACAAGGCAAAGTATTTGACCTTATGATGCCTAATAGTCCAACAGGAGGCTGGAAGAAGAACAAGTTACTATAACCCATTAAGTAAGTATTAGGAAAGGGGTGTAGCTCACTGGTAGAGTGCTTGCCTACTGTGTAGGAGACACTGGGCTCCATCCCCAGCAAAAACCAAACAAAATAAGTGCCCAGTGAGATATGTTCAAAATGCTATGTGGTCATAGGTGAATGAATCCACCCACAAAAGTCCACATATTGTAGGACTCTGTTTGTGTGGAATGCCCAAAAAGGCAAATTTATAGAGATGAAAAGTGGATCAGTGGTTGCCAGAGGCTGGGAGGAGGGGATGGGAACAATTGTTAGCAGGAACAGGATTTTCTTGTGGTGTGATGAAAACATGATATAATTAGAGTGACAAAGCCTCCACGAATGTGATTATTAAAAATCATTGTCACATTTTAAAATGATGAATCTTGCTTTAGAAACACTAGCTGTAGTTATGTTTATTAATACATTGATTCCCTAAAATAATTTGTTATTTTAACTGCTTACTTTACAAGTCAGACTCTTAATATCCCAAACAAATTACAGTATTGAGTTTATCCATGTATTCATCCACACATTTATCCACCTCACTGTGTGTGTGTGTGTGTGTGTGTGTGTGTGTGTGTGTGTGTTATGGTTTGAATGTGGAGTAACCCTCACACATTCCGTATTGAACAATTGGTCTCTAGATGATGGCATTCTCTTGTGAGATGATGAAAATTTAGGAGATGGGACCTAACTGAAGGAAGTGAGTTATTGAAGGCATCCTGTTCTCTCACTTTCCTGTCTGCCATGAGTGAAGTGGCCTCTGCCACATGGTCCCAGTGAAGTCATGTTCTATCTTGTCACAGGCCCAGAATCAACAGAGTTGAGAACTGTAGACAGAAACTGCTAAGCAAAATGACTAATTTCTCCTTTTAGATTGTACTTCTCAAGTATTTGTCACACACAAGCAGAAAAAAAATCTGATTATTTTGCTATGCACAGTTCTTGGAGTGGAACCATGAGGAACCCCTAGTTTCAGGACTCGGATGTCAATTGTGTTCCAAGCAACTCTAAATCATGAAATGTACCTTTCAGAAGCCTGATGAGAATAAGGAGTCACAAGAGAACCTGTGAGTTGAGTAGTATAAGTTACTCAAGTGCTGATATCAACTCAAGGGATAGCTTTAAATCAGAAAGGCACCCAGGACCTATAGGTGTTTCATAAAACTGAGATGCGTTTCTCATATAAAAATGTAGGACTAGTTCAGCAGGAGACGACTTGATCTGTGAGATTTACTAATTAAAAGGCTGTGTGCAGCTAAACATTTAGTACATGTTGGTAGTTAAGGCCAGTGATGCCTTGACGTGATCCAAAATACAAAAGACCAGAAATAAATTTGAAGTGGTGCATAGGGGTTGGTTGGGTGGTGAAGAATGTGAGCAGGGTAGATTGGACGAGGGCAGCGCTAAGATTCTGTTGGATGACATTGCCCTCTAGAGGTTCTCTTATGCAAAGTCCTGTCAGCATTTTCCTTTTATAAAGCACTCCACTGCTTATTTTGATTTCAGTCACGACTCCAGAATTTTACATAAGAGAGATTTAGAGTAGATTCAAGAAGGTTGAAGAAGAGAATTGCATTTGACACTGCTAGTGGAAACATGGAGAGAAATCGTCAAGACACAGATAGAGGCAATGAGTTTCTGAGTATTGCTCTGGTAGCTTAAGGGACAACAGCTGAGATTGACAAATTGGATCGCATCAAGTTAATAAGCTTCTGCACAGCCAAAGAAAAACAATGAAGAGTCAGACCTCAGAGTTGGAACAACTCTTTGCCAACTATCCATCAAATATCCAGAATGTATGCAGAACTGAAAGAAACCAAGCCCTTCAAAAGAATAACCTTATTAACAAATGGGCAAATAAACTCAATTGACACTTTCCAAATGAAAAAAAACCCTAATTTATAAATACATAGAAACAATTTTCAGCATATTTAGATACCGGGGAAATAAAAATTAAAGGTACGATGAGATTGCTTTTCGTGGCAGTCAAAGTGATAGTCACAAAAAACCAAAACCAAAGCAAAGCAAAACAAAAAACAGTGAACGCTGGTAAAGACACGAAGGACCCGATACATTGTTGTTGAGATTGCAAATTACCGCTGCCACTGGAAAGAAAAAATCAGCATGAAGATTTCTCAAAAATTAAAAATGGAACCACTATGTGATCCAGCTATACCATTCCTGGGGATGTTCCCGAAGGAACTGAAGTCAGTATACCACAGAAATACTCACAGGCCCATATTTATTGTGGAACTATTTGCAATACCCAAGTTATGGGATCAGCGAGGTACTCCTGGTGAATGAGACTGTCTCATTCACTTGGTACCCAGTGGGTGGCGCTGTTTGGTGGAGGTTGTAGAACCTTTAGGAGGTGGAGCCTTGCCAGTGGAGACGGTATCCCTGAAAGTGGGCTTTGAGAGAGCTGCCTCTCTCCATTTCCTGTATGCAGTGGAAGTTGTGATCTCCCAGCTTCCTGCTCTGATTGCCTGCTGCCACGGTTTCCTTGCTTTTATGGACTCCCTCTCTGGAACTGTTAATAAACTCTTTCTTCTACAAGTTGTTCTTGATCATGGTGTT